ACCAGAGCGCCGCCGACCCCACGGTGTCCCGGGACGTGTGGATGGTGGGCATGGGCATCCTGATGTCGGTGATCGTGCTGGCCATCGTCTTCGGCAACGTGCTGGTGATCACGGCCATCGCCCGCTTCCAGCGCCTGCAGACCGTCACCAACTACTTCATCACCTCGCTGGCCTGCGCCGACCTGGTCATGGGGCTGGCCGTGGTGCCCTTCGGCGCCTGCCACATCATCATGGAGATGTGGAAGTTTGGGAACTTCTGGTGCGAGTTCTGGACCTCTTTGGACGTGCTGTGCGTCACGGCCAGCATCGAGACCCTGTGCGTCATCGCCGTGGACCGGTACTTCGCCATCACCTCCCCGTTCAAGTACCAGAGCCTGCTGACCAAGGGCAAGGCGCGCGTGGTCATCCTGGTGGTGTGGGTGGTGTCGGGCCTGACCTCCTTCCTGCCCATCCAGATGCACTGGTACCGGGCAGAGCACGAGGACGCCATCCGCTGCTACGAGAACGAGATGTGCTGCGACTTCTTCACCAACCAAGCCTACGCCATCGCCTCCTCCATCATCTCCTTCTACGTGCCCCTCGTCATCATGGTCTTCGTGTACGCCAGGGTCTTCCAGGTGGCCAAGAAGCAGCTGCAGAAGATAGACAGGAGCGAGGGGAGGTTTCACACCCAGAACAAGGAGCAGGAGCAGAAAGGAGGAGCCGGGAACCGCCGCTCCTCCAAGTTCTTCTTGAAGGAGCACAAGGCCCTCAAAACCCTGGGCATCATCATGGGCACCTTCACGCTGTGCTGGCTGCCCTTCTTCATCGTCAACATCGTGCACGTCATCCAGGACAACATCATTCCCAAGTACGTGTACATCCTCTTGAACTGGCTGGGCTACATCAACTCTGCCTTCAACCCCCTGATCTACTGCCGGAGCCCCGACTTCAGGTACGCCTTCCAGGAGCTGCTGTGCCTGCGCAGGTCCGCCCTGAAGATGTACGCGAACGGCTACTCCAACAGCAACGGCAGGAGCGACTACAACGAGGAGGAGAACGGCTACCCCCTGGCCACGGATAAAACCTGCCACTTGCTCTGCCAGGAGGGCTCCTTCCCTCATGCCGAGGACTTTTTGCACGGCAAAGGTACTGTGCCCGGCGGGGAGGGTGCTGGGGGCTCTGGGGGTCGCACAGAGGAGCCTTTCCGAGGGAAATCAACCTCCTTTGATAAATAACAGCAGTGATTCTTTAATAGAGAGCGCCTAAAACCGAACGGGAAAGCCCAAACTCAAAGTGTGCAAAGCGGGGCTGGCTCCTGGCAGGGCGGAGGGGCTGCGGGCAGCTCCCCCCCGGTCTGGGGAGCCAGCCGGGGGTCCCTTAGCGGGGTGGGGGATGCGAGGCAGTGCAGAATGCTCGTCCCGGACGGGACTTTCTGGCCGTGGCCGGGATTGAACTGGCCTGGGACTGAACTACCTCCTGACCTTGCTGGGAGCGGGGCTGGACACCCCCTGCACCGCTGGGACCGCTCCCGGTCCCCTTCTCACAACCCCGCTGGTGGCTGTGGGAGCCCTCCGGGCCAGGAGGGCACCTGGGGCGAGGGTGGCAGCACTGTCCAGCCCTGGCAGTGTGCGGAGATGGCAAAACCCCCGGATCTGATCTGCGACAAGGCGGCGGGGAAGGGATGCAGGGAGCGGGGCTGAGCGCGGCTCGGCGCTGCCGGGACAGTTTGATCACAGCCCAGAAACTGCCAGTGCTCTCCAGGGGAAAAAAAACAAAGAAATAAATACTAGAAATAAGCGTAGCGTTTGCCTGGAATGTGAGGCTGTGACTGTGGGACTCAGGAATGTGGCACTGGAAGTCGGGTGACACGCGGCTACAATCACAGCCCAGCGCTTTGCGTCCAACCAAAAGCTTGTAAAGCGCCCGGTCTGTTGAACTACAAGGCTCGGATGACAGCGAGGTGGGAGGGGAGGAGGATTTGGATTTTCCGTGGCACCTTGGAAGCGCCGCTCCGACCGCGGGACTGCTGCAGGTCACTTGGGATGGGTGCGGAGGGGGTTTTGTCCCGTGTGCCAGGCTCTGCCAGGTGTCCAGGACAGGGCAGGACAGGACAGGACAGTCCCTGGCTGGAGGGGAGCAGCTATTTGGGGCCGGAGTGACAAGCTGGAGGGAGTGCAAGTGCCGGGTTCTTCCAGGAATACTCAGGAAAAGTGCAGGAAAAGCTTCTCCCGGGACCTCTCGGTGCTCCAAGGACCGTGGAGTCCCGGGGGGTGCTCGGGGGATGCTCGGGGGATGCCCGGGGGATGCTCGGGGGATGCTCGGGGGGTGCTCAGGGGATGCTCGGGGAATGCTCGGGGGATGCTCGGGGGTGCTGAGTCGTGCGGAGCCCCCGCATTTCCAGGCGCTCGCCCCACACCACGGGGGTGTTGCTGGCATTGTCGGGTCAGTTTGGGGTGTGGGGGTCGCTCTGCCCCGGGAGACCTGGGTGGGTGGCGAGTGAGCAGCCCGGGGCTGAGTCCCCACGGCAGGAGGAGGCAGAGGGGCTTTGGGGCAGGAGGAGCCGGAGTTGGGATGGGGTGGAGGGGGTTTCTGGATACCGACCCCCCCCGGCAGGCTCCGTGTGGCTTTGGCCACTCTCGGGACCCTCCCCGAGCGCTGGTGCCGCCAGGGCTGGAGGGAATCCCCCCGGATGGGCAGGGAGCACGGAGGGTGTCACTGCTGCTGCAAGGTACGGGACAAACTCCTGGAGCTCTCACACCCTCAGGGTAAAACCAAGACTCTGGAAACTCCTTCTGCTCCTTTTTTTCTTTCCCAAAGTGGTCCTGATCCTGCTTTAGAAGGGTGCTGGGAAGGAGGAGCAGCTCTAAGACCCCTCTCCTCCTCTAACCCTGCGACAGGCTCGGCTCCTCTCGTCACCTTTGCAGCTCAGCCCTGCAGCAGGGACAGGGAATGTGGCTGAGAGCCCTTCCCTCACCCTCTGCCTGCCTGTGCCCTCACCTGCAGCCTTGGCAGGGATGCCAGAGGTGACACGGTGACACTGCCACATAAACAGCTCCAGGCTGCTGGGCAGGGGACACGCAGGGCTGGCAGCTGGTGCTGTTTGCTTCGTGTTGCACAAGCACCGAGAGGTGAGAGAGGCGTGGAGCTGGGGCAGGAGCATCCTCGGTGTAGGGGCACACTCGGTGTAGGAGCACACTCGGTGTAGGTACTCAGTGTAGTTACTCACTCAGTGTAGGTACTCACTCAGTGTAGGTACTCACTCCAGCGCTGCAGGTGCAATTGAGCTCAGCACAGGCTGGAATTCTCAAATAGTATTCAGGGGAAATGAGAATTAACCTCTCGATTGCAGAGATCCATATCTGCTGTGTTTTCCATCCTCCTGCATTCTGACTCTTGGCAATCACTTTCTATTCTGCAATGCTCAGGGCACACAGGGACGAGGTTTCCTGCAGTGATGGGGGGTCAGGACAGCCCCCAGCAGGCTCAAATCCTCACCAGTTTGAGGCAGGACCCTCTGGCACAGAGAATTCCCACCCCCACATCCCTGTTGTGGTTTGTATTTTCACTACGATGAATTATTTGCATTTCGGTAGCACTTGTGGAGAGGGGTTTGTTGTCCAAATAATTGTTCTCTTCTTTTGGTTTCCTCTTCTTACTTCAGATATTGTGGCTGTGGGAAGCCAAAGCTGAGAGATGAGCAAGTGATTATTTGCAGAACCCACTCCAGCATCCAGAGCACGTGGGTGTGGAAGGGGAAGGGAATTTTGGGTTGTTTGCACTGGACAAATGACCTCGGTACTGCAAAGTTCATCTGCAGTGTGAGGAAACCTCAAGCTCGCAGTGGAGTCTGGGTGTTGAAGAACTGATTTCTTTCCTCTAAGGCAACATTAGTAAAACTGGTGAAATATTAACTGTGTAGTTCTGGGGGCAGCTGGAATCAAAAGAGAGAAATATTGGAGGAAAAAAATATTATGGCATCACCAAAGCCAAACCTTTCCGTGGCTGGAAAGAAAAAGCTTTGTCCTGTTAAAATATTTTATAATAAAAAGATAGTTTTATAGAAGCATTTAAAAATGGAGCCTTGAATTCAGGAGTCGCTGTTTAAATTGGATTTTAGGATTTTACACTGGCAGAGTTGGCTCAGGTTAAAGCCACAGTGATAAAACACACAGTGGTGACTTCATTCCAGGGAAATCAGTGACAAATATTAAATTCTCCCTGCAAACAGAGCAGGCTAAAGCTAAATGCTAAATGCTGTGCTGCTGGCTTGTACCTTGTGCCCCTGCCACAGAGGTGGGGACACAGAGGGGACACAGCCCCCAGGGGATGGTGTGCAGCCAGCTGGAGCTTGGCCCTACATCCACTGCTTTTATCCACTTTAGCCAAGCAGATTGTTTTTGTTTTTAAAGTCTTGGCAAAGTGAACGTCACAAACACAGCTTGGGTGTTGTTACAAAATACTGCCCTGGCTGTGGCTGCTGCCTGGGGCTGGGGCAGCTGCACTTTCCACATCAGGGCTGTCTTTGCTTCATCCCCAGAACAGAAAGCTCCGGGGTTACTCCAATCCTTTTCCTCTTGGGAGCATTCCTGGGCAGCCAGGGCTGGAAATGCTGCTCGCTGTGGCACTGGGAGATGTGGAAATGAGCAGAGGGAAAAGGCTCTGGGTGCAGATCACACCTGGAAGCGTGGCTCAAATGCCTTTTTAGGACTGGCTGTTCTCAAAGTGCCTGATACCCCAAACTGATCAGCAATTCCTACAGCCCAGCACTGCCCACAGGTGCATCTTGCACTGTCCTGGGGCGTCAGGGCTTATTTCAGGGTTTATTTACTATAAGGGTGTGTTTGTGCCCCCACTTTACCTCCCAGCATCTTTCTGGTGTAGAATCACGGACCCTTTTAGGCTGGAAAGGGCCTTGGAGGTCGAGTTCAACTTGAACCCAGCATTCCCATTGATGCAGATCCCTCTGCAGAGCTGTCCTGCCCTCCAGCAAGTCAGCATTCCCCTCCAGTTTAATGTGGTCTAGGAATTTAGTGAGGATGTACCCAACCTCCTCATCCAGATCATTGATAAAGATATTAAATGAGACTGGGCCTAAAAGTGAGCCCTGGGATTTATTCCATCCCCACTCTCTGGGCTTTTAACCCTGTCAGGTTTATCCCAGTGAAGAATGGACCCATCCAAGTTAAGGGAATTCAGTTTCTCCAAGAGAATGCTGTGGGAAAAGGTGTCAAAGCTTAATTAAAGTCCAAGTAGGCATCCTCCACAGCCTTTTCCTCATTCATGGAGTGGTCATGCTGTCACAGGAGATCAGGTCCTGTTTTCCAGCTCAGGGGGTACAACTGGCTTTACTATTAAAGGCTGAGACCAAGAAGGCATTGAGTACTTCAGCCTCTCCCTTTGTGTTTCCTCAGTAGAGGATGAAGGTTCTCCTCAGCCATCCTTCTCTTGCTGATGTATTTCTGGGAGCATTTTTAATTCTCTTTTCTGGCAGCAGCCAGATTAAATTCTAGCTGAGATTTGTTCCCTCTAACTTTTCTCCCTGCATCTCCCTGCAACTTTATCCTAAATTTACTGCCCCTTTTCCAAAGCTCCTAGACTCTCCTTTTTTCCCTGAATTCCAGACAAAACTCTCTGTCCTTCCAGCCTTGTTTTCTCCCCTGCTGGCTCATCCAGCACAGGGGCACAGGCTGCTCTTGCACCTTTAATTCCATCTCCTGCTGCCAGGAGTCTCAAACCCCACAGACCGAGGCAACGGTTTTGTCCCTCCCTTTGCCAGCCCTCTGCCTCCCAGTGTTTATTTTCCCTGGGTGATGAATCCATTTCCCAAGGAGATGGGTTTATGAGCACGTTCATTCCTGTGGCAGGAGGGAGGAGGGCCTGCCTCGCCTGTTCCCTTCCCTGCTCTCTGTCAAAGTGCCCCCTAAAAGCAGCAGGAAAACTGAGCTTGCTGTGCCTGGCGCTGTCCCTGGGCTCTGGGGATGGAAGGGGGATTTGGGGAAGGTGCTGCTGCTCTTGTCACAGTGCTGCCCCCGTGTTCCCCTCCCCAGCTGCCTGTGTAGAGGTGCCAGCCCCTGCCTGACCCCTCTGTTTGGTGATTCCTGGGGTCTGCAATGGGAACAGGAGCCACAGCAGTTTCAGGGCAGGCTCTTGTGAAAAGCTGTCCTGTTTTCTCAGCAGACAGGCAGAGCCACTCCAGCTCCCTGAGATCGGTGTTTTGCAAGATGAGTTCCTTTCCTCTCTGTTTCCACACTTTGCTCGGTTTCTCTGCTCCGTGGCCACCTCGGCATCTCCTCCCTCCCAAAAGCCTCTTCCAGTGTGAAAGCTTGGCTCTCTCTGAGACTTCAACCCAGCAGCCCCAGCATTTCTCCCCCTTGTTCTGAATTTACTGGAGCTCTGCTGAAAGCAAACTCCGGCACTGCTGTCTCTTGCTGGGGGTAGATAGAGCATTTTGCAATGAGCCTGGGCTGTGAGGATGCTGATGCTTGGCTACACCCCCTCACCAAAACATTTCTGTGGGGCACCAGCTGCACCCACAGCAACCTGGAGGTGCTTTTTGTCATATTCCAGAGCAGGAATATCCCACCAGCACTGGCTCCTGGGAGATGCTGTTCCTACAGTGGAACAACCTCTCCCTGTTCTCCTCTCGTGTTTGCCTGGCACAAACAAAGCCCAGCCAGCTCTGCTGGGGTTTTAAGGACGCAGCCCGGCTCCAGACAGAGCTGGAAACTGGAGTTTCCACAGCTTGGAAGGAAATTCTCCTTCCTGGGGTGTTGTAAGAGCCACAACCCCCATCCCCCTGGATCTGGCAGCGGGAATTGCTGTGTGTAAAGGTGCATAGTATTTAAGAGAGATTTTTTTATTCTCCATCCTGAAAAAAATAAGTGGATTTGCTGCTTCTTCATGCATGCAATTTCAGTTTTCCCATTTTCCCTGTGGCAGGAGAATCCACAGCTGAATTTCTGTGCAATATTGGCAGTGCCAGGGAATGTGGATTGGGAAATGTTCACTTCTTTCCTGTCCTTGGTAAAGTCATTTTTGCACAAGTGAATATACAGATATATGTGTGTGTATATCCATTATCTATATATAGCAATACCTGGAGCTGTACATAAACAAGGAAATGTAAAGGGTTTGCTGTGCCAAATAAATGCAGAGATGAAGATCTGTATGTTCAAAACTCAGAGTATTTATTGCAGGTCCTATTGACTGACGTGTTTTAAATAAAGAGGATTTATGGTATTTATGCTGTAGTCAAGTGTCCTTGCTTAAACTTATTTCCCAACATTCTCCCAGTGAAGCCATCAGGCCTCATTAAAGAAATCCAACACCTCAAGGAGCAGGGAGGAAACATAATGTGGACAAAAATTTCCTTCATTTCTCAGTGCTTTGAGCCCTGGCAGTGGGCAGGAGGGTGTGAGATGGGTTTTCCCCACTCCCATCAGGATCTGCAGGGGATTGAAAACCCACCTGCTTCTCTGTTTGGACTGGCAACAGTGGATGGCTCCTGTGCTGCCCTGGCTTCCAGCAGCTGGGAGGGTTTAATCCTCTGTTGGTGCTCAGCAGTGCCAGCTTCCCCTGGGGCTGGGAGGGAGCTGCAGCCTCCCCAGCCCTGGGGCTTTGGAGTTCGGGATGGAAGGTGATGAGGTCCTGCAGGATCGGGGTGGCAGCAGCACGGTGTGGGACGCTCCTGCCCTCCCCAGGGTTTCCTCCTGGAAAAGCTCGTGGAGGTGTTCCTTTGGAGAGGTGTCCGACCTCCTGGCCTGTGCTGGTGTCCTGCTGTCCCTCTCGCTTCAGGTGGGGCTGAGGAGAGAACACGAGTGCTGCAGAGCAGGGTGCCAGCCCAGCAGGTGGCAATGGCAAGGATTTTGTGTCCTTGGTGCCACTTCAGCCCACCAAGGAGCCTTGGCAGCACAGGATGCTGTGCCTGGCTTCTCCTTTCCAGAAACAACAGCTGGGAATTGTTGTGGAGCGGGGACAGGGAGAGACTGCACCAGGCACCTCCAAAACACATCAGATGCAAATATATATATATATATATAAAATATATTAGGTATTACATATTATATTATATTATATTATATTATATTATATTATATTATATTATATTATATTATATTATATTATATTATATTATATTAACAATATAATATATAAAAGATAATTATTATATAGCATATAGTATCTAGTATATAATCATTATATATTATATATTTTATATTATATGTTATATGTTATATATTATATATTATATTTTATATTATCTATTATACATTATCTATTACACATTATATATTACACATTATATATTACACATTATCTATTATGATATCATTATAAATTATAATTCTATGTGATTGTTATATATGATTCTATATAATGTATAATTTTAGATATTTAAAATATATAATATATTGTATATAATACATATAATATAGATATAATATTTATAATATATAATATTTATATATTATAAATGTAATATATAAAATATTATAATTTATATTATATATGTATATGAATTATAATAATTTATATTATATATCTATAAATTATAATAATTTGTGCCTCAAGGGATAGAGAGCCCCAACCATCGCTGACTGCAGGAAGAAAAAAATCAGTCAGACCTTCAGCATCTGTGGGGGAGCAGAGCTCCCACCTTTCCCTACCCCTGTAAAACAGGACATTCCTAACGGGGAATATTTCCCCTGCAAAGGTGGTTGCTCTAAAGAGCTGCTCAGAGCCAGAGGATCCCAGTGGGCACTGGCAGAGCCTGAGGGCTCAGGGACACAATTCCACAGCACAGAAGCCTCAGCACGGGGATGTCCCAGCCCTAAAAACAATCCCTGGGTGGCTCAGGGAGGTTCAGGCTCTGCAGCCTCAGCCCAGGCCTGAGAAATGCATAAACAGCAAATGGCCCCTGGGGAGGCCCTGCCAAGTCCTTTTTCCCTCATGTAAATATTTTTTCCTCTTAAGTGTATGCGAGTGTGAAAAACCTCTCCTTAATATTTTATTTTTTTTCCTCCCTGGCTGAAGGAAATGCTTGTTCATCCTTGGGTGGGAACAGCTTCATCTTGATATTTTGCAGCTGAAGCAAGAGCCACGCTGCTGAAATCTTTCCTTATCGGCCCCAAAGCCATGCTGGAATCAGATTAAGTGGTGCCTGTCAGGACTGGCAGTGGCTGTGGGATGGAGATCCCACGGGACAGAAAATTGTGAGGCAGCCTTGAAGCAGACTTGAGAAGCAGTGCAAAATATCCCTGGGGTTACAGGGCTCCAGAGCATGAAAGTCCCACCCTGTTACACCAAACACGTGAGTGGAAATGCGTGGCATTTATTTTTTCTGAGAAAAACTGGAGCCCTAAATAAGTTTCTTGCTGTCTGGCCTCGAAGTCGAGTGTCTCTGTGGGAGCTGTGTGTATTTTCCGATAGCTGGTAGTGAGAGGAAGTGTGTCTGTACCCAGCAGAGCTGCTGGCAGCCCCAGAACATCTGCAGGGTGGGGGAAGTGGGGCAGGGCACTGGGGAATCTGTTCTCACTGCTCACAGGTTTCCTCCCTCTCCATCCCCCTCACCTGCCTGGGAAAGGCTGGGATCCGGCTGGCACGCCTCTGTCCCAGCCCTCTCCAGCTCTGCCTCATGAGAATCAGAAATGGTTGCTGGTGGTGGTTTTTGGGAGGAGAAGTGTCAGCACCGTGGCCAGCCTTGTGCGAGAGAGCGATGCTGAGGTAAAGCTGTGTCAGCCTGGCCCGGTGCTGAGGCCTCAGCACAACCCAAATCCTGCTCTGAGGCCTCAGCACAACCCAAATCCTGCTCTGAGACCTCATCACAACCCAAATCCTGCTCTGAGGCCTCAGCACAGCCCAAATCCTGCTCTGAGGCCTCAGCACAACCCAAATCCTGCTCTGAGGCCTCAGCACAGCCCAAATCCTGCTCTGAGGCTCTGCCTTGACGTGAGAGGGGCTCGTGGCCTCCTTTAGAGAGCCAAGCCTCTCATGAGCTGGGTTCAGAGATGCACCAACAGCTCCACAGACAAAAAATCCCTTTGGCACAGCAGCTAGGCAAAGGGGAGCTGCAGAGGGCAGGGCAAAGGGAAAGCACAGCCACGGAGAGAAGGTTTGTGACTCACAACAAGGAGGCCATTCCTCAGTGACACCACTTGCACGGCTCATTTAGAGCTGACTCTGCCTCCCTGTCCCTCCCTGCTTAAAAGGGGATCCTCGGGATTCCTATTTATAGCAGGGAAAGAGTCACCCAGCCCTGAATGAACATCCCTGGGAGCAGGGGCATGGATGGCCAGGCTGTTCCCCTGCAGCCCCAGCCCCTCCTGCTGACATTTGCCAGCCTGGGAGGGACAGCAGAGTCTCCCTTGTTGTGACACAGGAAATGGTGGCACAAGACATGGTTACACAGGAGATGGTGGCACAGGACGTGGTGGCACAGGAGATGGTGACACAGGACATGGTGGCACAGGAGGTGACGGCACAGCCTGGAGGAAGCAGGGACAGGGACAGGGACAGGGACAGGGACAGGGACAGGGACAGGGACAGGGACAGGGACAGGGACAGGGACAGGTTGCTCCAGCCCCTCCCATGGTGGGAGCTGTACCCAAAAGGAAAAGTCACCGTGCAGAGTTGGGCGTGAGGAGCCTCCAGGACAGAGCCAGGATGGGGATTTCGAAGCAGGACTTGGGGATGTTGGCCAGGAGAGACAGAATTAATTGAGGATGGAGGGAAAGGATTGTTGGCTTGAAGGGAAGCACGGGGCTCTGCAGGAGTGCAGGATGGAATTCCAGGGCCTGGAATGCCCCCCTGGACCTCAGAGGGACCCAGGACAAGGTGCTGGCATTGCAGCTGCTCAGGTTTGGTCTCGGGCTGGGCTGTCTCCAACCCTCTGGTTTCCAAAGCTGTGCAGGGTGGGATTTCAGGTTGCCACAGTTACATGGCCCAGCTTTGGGAATTTTCCTTGCTATATGATTTACAAATCAATAAACTCAGAGTGGATTATTCAGGGATGTTTTCTTTCACTGCCCAAGAATTCCCTTTAGCACTCAGATTTTTGGAGGGTAAAAATAATTATAAAAGTGGACAACTTTTTTAGGACAGGTTTGGACAAGTGAAGATGTCTAAGGAGGCTCCCATCAGCTCTGCCATGAAAGTCATAAATCCAGCACAGACTGGTGATGGAAAGAGAAAGGATCTATGGAAAATTGTTAAATGGAAAGGTGGAGGCAACCAAATAAGAGAGGCAAAGCTAAATATAGCCCTAGGAGAGCATAAGAAATGGAGAAACAATTAAAGATAAGAAATCAGTCCTAGGCGGGAAAATTACTCAAGGACCAGCAGGAAATTCAAGAGGCTGGTTCTCCTGGAAAGGGAGGGAGAAGGACGGAATGGATTGCAGAAGAGGAAGCAGGGCTGGGAAATGCAATGAAAGCAACATCTGCATTTCAGTGCAGGATCTGTGTTTGTGCAGGATCTGCATTTCTGGGCAGGATCTGTGTTCCAGGGCAGGATCTGTGTTTGTGCAGGATCTGTGTTCCAGGGCAGGATCTGTGTTCCAGGGCAGGATCTGTGTTTGTGCAGGATCTGTGTGTCAGCGCAGTATCTGTGTTTGTGCAGGATCTGTGTTTGTGCAGGATCTGTGTTTGTGCAGGATCTGTGTTTGTGCAGGATTTGTGTTCCAGGGCAGGATCTGTGTTTGTGCAGGATCTGTGTTTGTGCAGGATCTGTGTTTGTGCAGGATCTGTGTTCCAGGGCAGGATCTGTGTTTGGGCAGGATCTGTGTTTCAGGGCAGGATCTGTGTTTCAGTGCAGGATCTGTGTTTGTTCAGGATCTGTGTTCCAGGGCAGGATCTGTGTTCCAGGGCAGGATCTGTGTTTCAGGGCAGGATCTGTGTTTCAGGGCAGGATCTGTGTTCCAGGACAGGATCTGTGTTTCAGTGCAGGATCTGTGTTCCAGGGCAGGATCTGTGTTCCAGGGCAGGATCTGTGTTTCAGGGCAGGATCTGTGTTTCAGTGCAGGATCTGTGTTTGTGCAGGATCTGTGTTCCAGGGCAGGATCTGTGTTTCAGGGCAGGCAGCCTGGCTGGTGCCTCTGCCCTCCCACGTTGCCCATTCCCCTGTCTGCTCCCGGAGCTTTGTGAAGATGATGGTTGCCTCTGGAATGAGCAGTAGCTTTGCTTCCTTCTCGGAGCTGCTCTGCTGCCTGCCAAGGCATGGCTGGGAGGGCGTGGAGCAGGCGTTCCTGTCATTCTGGAGCCGGGGATGCCTTTGGGGTGAGTGTGTGACAGGTATGGAGACAAACCAGGACAGCCGTCCTGTCCCCTGCCTGCCCCTGGGGATGGGCTCGGTGATAAGGAGGTGGGAATGGGGAATCACAGAACCACTGAGGCTGGGAAAGACCTCTCAGAGAATCGAGCTCAACCTTTGACCACTTTGCCAGCCAGAAGAGTTGAAGGGGAATTGGGGTTTTCCCTGTTGAAGGGCTGTGGGAACGGGTTGGGTACCTGGGATGCTGCTGGGCTTTGCGTTGCTCCCAGGGGGTTTGCTGGTCTTAATTTGCTCTTTATTTGTCATCCTGAGGTCTTCCCAATGGCAGCCAGGAGCTGTGGTTTGTTTGGAAGGGGCAGGTCAGCGTTGTCACTCTGCTGGCCTGTCCCCCATGCCGTTTTCCCCGTGGTGAGCAGGGCTGTGGCCATCCTATTTCCAGTGCCCCTGGGACCACGAGCACCATTGTCATTGTCACTTTGCTGAGGTGGTTGATCCATGGGCAGCCCCAGAGGATGAGTGGAGGGACACACAGCTCACTGTGCCCCAGGGAATTCCAGACTTCCCATGGGAAGGTGGCAATCCATGGGATGGGGAGCTGGGCAGGAGCGTGGCTGTATCAGGGGTGTAACTCATGGTCCTAATGGGGACAGGAGCTGCTGTGCAAGGAGCCCTTGGAGCATGGAGATGTCTGTCCAGTGTCCCTATCCACCCCTGAAAAGCAGCTGAGCTTGTGCTATCACTGACACACACAGGACTTGGAAAGGCCAAAATGTTCCCCCAGGCTTTGTGTGTAATTCCCAAAGACCTCAGCGCTGTCTGAGGCTTGGGTTCGAGGGCTTGTTGAGTGGCAGGAAGACAGAAAGGCGGCGTGAAGGTGTCACCCTGCTCTGTGGTGACAAACAGCAGGGCCCAGATTAGAAACCAGTGTGTGCCCTGGTGAGTCACAGCCTGACCCAGCTGCCACTGCCAGGACCTGCCACTGCCGCCTGCCAGGACCCTGCTGCCTGCACGGGCACTGTCCCTGCTCTCCGTGCCCAGCAGCTGGGGGAGAAGATGCTTCCCATCACCACACCCTGCCCACCCTCAGCTTCCCCAGCAGCAATCTGAGCCCCAGCCCCGCGCAGCTGCACCTAAGGATGAAACCCTTTTGAAAACCACCACGACATCTTTCAGATCACACCGAGGGGGAGACTCAGAGCTGGACCCCCAAAGACACAATCTTTCACTCCAAACGTGCAATCCTTGCCTGGCAGCTGTAGAAAGCCATTTTATGGTGTTTTTTCTTTTAAATCTTGAGTAATCCTAACCACAAAGTGAGACTGCAGCCCCTGCAAGCTTGTTCCATGAACCTTAAGTACCTGGTAAATTCTCTTTTCGCAGCCACTGATGAAGCAGGTTGTGTTTGCAATGAGCTTTCCTCCTTCCCCCTCCCCTCAGTGTGATTCATTCCAAGGGTGCCTCGTTTCTTGTTTCTCGAGGATGCCTCATTTCTCGGGCGAGTGGAGAAGGCGATTGCATCAATGCAAATGGGGCCCGAGGAGGCTGATAATGGCAATTTCTGTACAAATTCTGCTGAGAGGAACAGCCAGGCCCGTGCTGGGGCACGAGGAAATCTGCCCTGGCTTTAGCCAGGAATTCCAGATTTTTGTTACAATTAATAAGAGACACTCGGTGCATTTCTGAAGGGTTTCTCTGTTCTAGTGCAGACACAGGGATGGTTTATCCTGTTCAGAAGTTGCCTGGAAGTTTTTCAGGCTGTGGCTTTGCACTTCTTCCCTGGATAAAAGTCTGGGACAAGGCAGAGGGACATCACCTCCTAAATCTGTGTCTCCTGTCCCTGCCCTGCCCCGCTTCTCTCCACAGGAATCCTCACCCCTGTCCATGGCTCCTTCAAAGGATGGGGATGGGAATAACGAGCACTTTGTTGTTAACAATAGAGACAATTTCGAGATGAGCTGCTGAGGGATTAAAGAGCTGCTGGACTGGTTTTAGAGGTGAGAATAATGGAGCTGAATAAATGTGTGGAGCTGAATAAATCCCACCCGCTCCTCCTTTCATCTTCCTTACATGGAATTCGTTCAAGTTTGGCTTTCAGTAATTTATGGAAAGCTCAGTTACCATTCCCACACCCTTCTTACGGATTTCTGCACAGAAACCACTCTTCCACTGCACAGCACAGGTTTTTATTGGCCACAGAGCCCTGCTCTGTCCTCCTGCCCTTGCAAAGAGCTCTGGAATCACAGGGCCACATGTGGAGGAACCAGACAACGATGCCCAGCTCTGTAAAAAGCTGGGGTCCTTCAGATTCCAGTGCTGTCATAACTACAAAGCTGATCTAAAATAAAATACACCTGAAATTCTTCAGTATCAGACCCTCAGAAGGTTGTAGAAGAGTTCCTTGAACACTCCTCTCATTCCTGCACAAGTTTTGGGATCACTCATTTTCAAATGAGGTTTCAGGTCACAGCTGGGCTCCTCAGTCTTCAACAGGAGGGAGATGACAGTAAATTAGTGACCAAAATGAAAACCTTGTGTCCCCTTAGCATCCTGCCCCTGCCACTTCTGGACTTTACCTTCTGCCAGGAGTGTGTCCAGTTTCCAGCCCCGTCTCTGGGAGTCAGAAGGACAGGCTGGGCTCGGATTGGGATTGTTGCACTGGGATTTGCCCTGGAAAGGGTGGCTAAGGCAACCCCAGCCTCCAGAAGTGCTGCTGCCGACAGGGGCAGGGGGCAAGGGCTGCATCCATGGAGTGCAGCAGGTCACCGTGACTGAAACCATGAGATCACCAGCAGGCTGAGCTCCACCCCGCAGGGAAATCTTTTTATATCTCCCTGGCAGGTGCCCGGCGTTTGCTGGCTCCCTGCAGAAGGGGCTTGCCAGGGAGCGCAGTGAGCGCCGCCGCGGTGCCGGCACCGCTGGGAGCTGGGAACACGGCTGGTGTTTACCCAGGTGTGATGCCTGCTGCACCCATGGGTGCCTGGCCCTGCCTGGCTGCTGTCTGAGCTGCAGGGCCGTGTTGTGTCTGCCCGTGATAGCATCAGCACCCCGCTGCCAGCCCCGCTCCGCTTTGATGAGGGATCCGGAGCTCGGTGTGAACCCAACCGTGCTGGAGCCTTTTCCGCACAGCTTTAGCCCTGGGAGTGTTTACCAGGCCTTGGCACAGCTCCTGTGCTCCACCCTTTGATGTGGGTGAGGATCAGGGGAAAAAATAAAACTGGGATTTACTCTCAAGGAGTAGCAGCT